CAACAAACCCTCATAACCTAGCAACCAACCGAGTACTATCAACCGCACCTTCCCCCCCCATCCCCATGACTAATTTGCCTGTAACGATGAGCATAACTGCCAGCATGTTACTTTTTACCCCCTTCCCTATATCAAGGTAATGGCCGAGGAGGATTTATCGATAGCTAGATAGAAAACGATGAAAGCGGGGGATTGCGTCAGAAAACAGCAGGCTTTTTGAGGCTGCGTACAACGGCAACGAATCTATTGGCACTTGCGGATGAAAGTACATAGGGCAGGTACTTGTTCGGGCACGAATAACTCGTACCTTGCGCCACCTGGAGGCAGCTTATATACGGCTTTTAAAACCCCACCTATGTAAACAGTTGGAGCATGTGGTTAACCTAACTTTGCCTTGGTAACATCCGACCCCCTGATTTACATATTCCCCTGCCCACCTTTTCACTCTAATGTTTTTTCTTCACTTTTACTTTCCACATTGGTTTAACGTGCTTATTTTACTGATTAGTCTTCGTGATCAGGTTCTATGACCTTGCTGACTGTTTCTGCACGAATTCAACTTTGTATTGTCTCGTACGTTACTCACTTTATGCAGCGAGAGGTCGCAGCTGATGAGTACTCTCAGAACTCTGCTGTTTATGCAATCGTCAAATTTGCACCAGAGAAAAGATGTCGAATATGATGCCGAAAATGACTGTGCTTGTGGCCAAGTGGTCTAGGCGTTTGAGTTTTGCTTAGAAAGATACACAGTGTCTGTAAGTGTCCGAACGATTCGCCTAATTCATTCCTTCCATACAGCTTACAACTAAGGACTATGTATTTAGTCGACATACCTCAGGCGACCGATTAGCTAGGCAATGGTTTGTTGCTGGTGGTGGGGGGGGGAGAGCGAGGTCGATCCTCAGCGCACTTCTTTCCTCACTATAACCAATCTGACGCACTTGCAGCTATCATGGTGCACTGAAAGCCGCGGCTTGGAGGGCTGCCTGCCAACTGACGGGATAACATGGACCGCGCAG